TGTGCCAGCTCTCTCTCCCATATATATATATATATATATATATATATATATATAAATAATATATATATAAATATTCTGGTTGTTATGGTAACTTTGCTCCCTTCTCTTGCCCCAGTGGGCCTCCTCGCTGCTGCAGTTGTACAGTGCCCCAGCTAGCCTACTACAGTTTAGTTCCCTCAACTCCACCCACACCTTAGAACCAGGATTCTGCTAACCAAAGCCTGGGCTGTAGTGAGCAATTAAATAAGTCCTGCGGGCGCCCGTGGCTTATGCCTATATTCCTAGCTATTCAGGAGGCTGAGATCTGAGGACAGCAGGAAAGTCCATGAGACTTTTTTTTTTGGGGGGGGGGGGGGTCCAGTCGTGGTGCCTGAACTCTGGGCCTGGGCACTGTCCCTCAGCTCTTCAGCTCAAGGCTAACGCTCTACCACTTGAGCCACAGCGCCACTTCTGGCTTTTTTTTTCTTTTTTTTTTTTTTGGTCGGTTGTGGGGCTTGAACTCTGGGCCTGGGCGCTGTCCCTCAGCTCTTCAGCTCAAGGCGAGCGCTCTACCACTTGAGCTACAGCGCCACTTCCGGTTTTCTGGCGGTTTATTGGAGATAGGAGTCTCATGGTCTCTCCTGCCCGGGCTGGCTTTGAACTGCAATCCTCAGATCTCAGCCTCCTGAGTAGCTAGGATTACAGGCGTGAGCCACCAGCGCCCGGCTTTGGCTTTTTTTTTTTCTTATGTGGTGCTGAGGAATCGAACCCAGGGCCTCATGCATGCAAGGCAAGCACTCTACCACTGAGCCACCTTCCCAGCCCCTCCATGAGACTCTTAACTCCAATAAACCACTCAGAAAAAGTCAGAAGTGGAGTTGTGGCTCAAGTGGTAGAAGACTATCCTTGAGCACAGAGAGGCTCTGGGACAGCACCTAGGCCCCGAGTTCAAGCCCTAGGGCTGGCACAATAAATATAGGGGCCATTTAGATATATTATTTAAGTAAACAGATATGTATTGATTATCTGTGGTATCTCGAACCTGGATAATGGAGACCTGACCGCAATAGACAAAAGCTATGGATTCTAATAGTGCCCAACAAGGCAGGTGCTATCTTATTGCTGAGAGGTTAAAGGGTTCTCAAATAATGTAACATCAACTAGCAGTGCAGCCATTTCAGAGTTTGGTAATGGGGATCAGACACTTTAGTTTTTGGCAGTAGTAGCTTTTGAACTCAGGGCCTTATGCCTACTAGGCATGGGAGAAAAGACTTTTTTTTTTTGCTAGTCCTTGAACTCAGGGCCTGGGCACCGTTCCTAAGCTTCTTTTTGCTTAAGGCTAGTACTCTACTACTTGAGCCACAACACCACTTCCAGCTTTTTTTTCAGTGTATGTGGCACTGAGGAATCGAATCCAGGGCTTTACATATGGTAGGCAAGCACTCTACCACTAAGCAACATTCCCAGCCTCTTTTTTTATTTTGCTGGTCCTGGGGCTTGAACTCAGGGCCTAGGTGCTCAAGACTAGCACTCTACCACTTGAGCCTCAGCACAATTTTTTTTTTTTGGTTCCAGTCATGGGACCTGAACTCTGGGCCTGGGCGCTGTCCCTCAGCTCTTCAGCTCAAGGCTAGCGCTCTACCACTTGGCCACAGCGCCACTTCCGGCTTTTTTCTTTTTGCTTATGTGGTGCTGAGGAATTGAACCCAGGGCCTCATGCATGCAAGGCAAGCGCTCTACCACTGAGCCACCTTTACTGGAGTCTCACAGGAACTTTTCTACCTCCTGAGTAGCTAGGATTACAGGTGTGAGCCACTGGCCTGGCTTATTTTTTTTATTATAAAGATGATGTTCTGAGAGGTTATAGTTACATTAAGTCAGGTCATGAGTACATTTTTTTTCTCTTGTTGGTTGTCCAGGCATGGGTGCTGTCCTTGAACTCTTTTACTCAAGGCTAGCACTCTACCACTTTGAGCCACAGTGCCATTTCCTGTTTTCTGATGGTTAATTGAAGATAATTTCAGACTTTCCTGTGTGGGCTGGCTTTGGACTGCAATCTTCAGATCTCAGCCTTCTGAATAGGTAGAGTACAGGCCTGAGCTACCAGCACCTGGCTGAGTGCATTTCTTTTTGGACATTGTCACTCCTTTGCTCTCTCTCTCCCACTCCCACACTCCTTGAAGTTTGATTATTTCCTGTTAAGCCACATCCTTTTGCAGAATTGTGAACCTGAGCTCAGTCAATGGGGAGCAGAAAGGCAGGGTCTGCTGGGTTAGGGATAAAAAGGGAGCAGCCTGCCTGGCTGCTCTGTGTGCTTGTTGCCAGATTTTTTTTTTTTTTTTGGGGGTCCAGTAGTGGGGCCTGAACTCTGGGCCTGGGCGCTGTCCCTCAGCTCTTCAGCTCAAGGCTAGCACTCTACCACTTGAGCCACAGCGCCACTTCCAGCTTTTTTCTTTTTTTTTATTGTAAAGATACTATACAGAGGGTTACAGTTACATGAGTGAGGTAATGAGTACACTTCCTCTTGAACATTGTTACCCCCTCCATTGTTTTCCCCCTACCATCCCCTCCCTCCCCAGCTTTTTTCTTTTTGCTTATGTGGTGCTGAGGAATCGAACCCAGGGCCTCATGCATGCAAGGCAAGCACTCTACCACTGAGCCACCTTCCTAGCCCCTTGTTGCCAGATTTTTTGACTGATATCCTTCCCTTCTGCAGAAATAAACTTTACTTTGCAGAGTTCCTTTTGAGTTGTCTTTATTCCTATATAATACCCCAATATATGAAGCTATTTCTAATAGGCAGGAGATCTACCACTTGAGCTACTCTTGTCTTTTTTTATGCTTTATTTTTCTGGGTCTTGCTATTTGCTTGAGACCAGTCTGGATCTCTGTATTCCTTACCTAGGCCTCTTTGTGGCTATGATTACAGACATACACCACCACACCAGTTTGTTGGTTGAGATGGGGGCCTAACTTTTTGCTGGGGCTGGATGGAACTGTAATCTTCCTCATCTTTGTCTTCTAAGTTGCTGGGGTTAGTGATATACCACCATGACCATTTTAGAGCTTTATGATTTGTGTATACTGAAACTGAGGCTTGAACTTCAGGACCTTGTATTCTGGTATGGTTTTCTTGTTCATGGCTGGTGCTCCACCACTTGATCCATGCCTCTAGTCTCATTTTTTTCTGATTAGAAATAAAGCTTAATTTTGTAGAAATAAAAAGGGGGAGAAAAGCAGGCTAGGGAATGTAGAATGCTTGTAGAATACATGAAGCCTTAGGTTCCATTCCTAGCAGTGCAAGAATAAAAGTAAAAAAGAAAAGGAAAATATACTTCAGAGGGTAGTAAATCCAAGTGAGTACAGTATAAATGAGTCAGAATAAAACCTAGAGGCAAGGAAATAAGACTAAAGGTTTGCTAGCATCCCCCTTCAGAGACACAAGAAAAGCACAGGGCCATATGTGATAGTAGCATCCCTGTGTCATAAGGCTTCACAAGTCAGCTTAGGGCTCAGCTCAAGAGTTATAATTCCCATTCTCTTCTCCCTTTTCTTTGCCTTATGATCCACCCCCCCCCCCCCACCTTTACAGATAAGGAATAAAGGCTCCCAGATCTTAAACCTTGGCATTTTTCCTCCCTGACCAACTTACCTTTTTAGAGTCCCAATAAGAGGTAAGGCTTCCAAAGAAAACACCAGGAGAGATAAAACTTGAGTCAATAATGGGCTGAGCTGCACACCTGTGGCTTATGCTTATAATTCCTATAATACTCAGGAGACTGAGATCTAAGGATCAAGGTTCTAAGCCATCCTAGGTAAGAAAGTCCATGAGACTCAGCCCCAATTAACTCCAAAAAGTCTTAAGTGGAGTCATGGCTGAAGTGGCAGAACAGGAGCCTTGAGTAAAGCAGCTCTGGCTCTGACACACACATGCATGTACATGCACAGACATACAGACACACAGACACACACACATGCACAAATAATGGACTTAGTCTTCCAGTCAAGGGACAGTTAGTGGCTGAAAGTACAGGTCTTAACTAAATGTTTGGTCCAGAAGGGTCTAGACTGGGGACAAAATTCGGGGGCAGCAGGCAGGCTTAGTAGCTAAACTAGAAAGAAAAAGCGTGAGAAAAGCAGGGCCCTGTATAAAAATGGAGTTAAGGAGATTCTATTTTCCTAATCCGGTCAGGGGCTTTCTAGCTTTGGTATTTCATTGTTCTTGGGGCTCCATCATCTTCCCAGGGACGTGGCCAGGTACACAGAGGCCTGGCCAGGCGGAGCAGGGCTGGGCGCAGGCTGGCCTGGCAGGGCCCGGCGGCCCTGCGCGCAGGGCGGGAGTTCACGCCCACCTTCCCTTTTTCCGTCGTGGTTCCCAGGCCTCCGCGGGCCTCCGGAGCCCGGCCCGAGGGTGGGCTTTGTGGCGGGAAATCGGTTAGAGTCGGGCTAACTTTTCGGGGACCCCGTCGGATCCCGGATGGCTCACAAACAGCTCGGTACCCTCGGCGGCCTGGCTCGGTCACTTCGGTAAACGTCCGGCCTAACCGCCCTTTCTGGCTACGGCGAAGTAATCAAGGAATTCATCCGGATCCTCTCAGCAGCCGGCGGCTCTCGTTAGTATTTGGGAATAAAGGCGACCATGGGACTTAAGAAACTGCAGCCTACGCGGACCAGAGAGAAGGGTTTGTGGGTAACGTGTGTGTGTGTGGGGGGGGGGACCGCCACTGAGGGAACAGCCGAGAAGGCCCGGCACCGACCCCAGCCCGCAGCCCCCGGCCCCGGCCCCGGCCCCGGCCCCGGCCCCGGGCCCAAGCCCAGTCGCGGCCTCCAAGCGACAAGCTCGCGCTCGCACACGGCTCCGCCCACCTGACGGAACGGCCGGAGCGCGCTCCCAGCAACCGCGGCTCTCGCAGCGTTTGTAGCCGCCTGACGTCACAGAATCTACGGCTTCTCATTGGACGATCTTGGCCAACCACGTGACCTCCGGGATGCAGTATAAATAGGGGCGAGGGGGAAGGCGGTGGTCCGCCATTTCGTGGACGCCGGAGAAGTGTGCGCATCTCCTTTTGGTGGCTTAGCCCGAGAAGTTCGGGGAAAGCAATCCGGGTGTGTGGGTTTGAGCCTCCGCGTTTCTACTCCACGACCTCGGTAAGCGACCCGCCACGGAAAGAGGAAAGCGGCGTTGAACCAGCATCTAGCTGGAGCCACGCTCCTCGGCGGCGCCTGACTGAGACAAAGGCGCCGCCGCCATTTTGTGACGTTCGGCGCGGGGCGGTGGCGGGGGGCTCCGGACCTTCCGGAGAATGTTTCCGGGCCTTGGGTGCGGATGGTGAATGCCCCCCTGGGTGGGGGTGCCGGCGTTAGGGATTTCCCGAGGCTTGGGGTGTCGGGGGGCGTCCGTGATTGGAATTCGCTTCAGGTCGCGGCCTTTCCGTTTTATGGCGCCTTTTTTTGAGGGGGCAATTGCTCATTTTCGTGGGCAGATTCTCAGGGTTTTTCAAGCTTTAAGTCACTGGCTAAGCCTGGGCCTTCCGGCCCGTTCTGAACGGGGCTCCAGCACGCGTGTGGTGGTGTTTTTTTTAGTTTTGTAGAGGCGGCTTTGGCCTTTTGCAATTGTACAGGTTCCCTTCACGGAAGCGCACCTTCTTGGCAGCCGCGTGGCGTGGCCGCGAGGGCGGCTTCCCACGGACAGGCCTGGAAGGGGGCGCGGAAGGGCTTTCACCGGCTGTCTGGGTCTGAACTGACGCCGCGGGCGTCAGGGTGGGGTCGGGTCCGGAGAAACAGGATGTGTCTGGACTGGATTTTTTTTTTTTTTTTTTTTTACCAGATTCAGTAGTGGGGGGGCGGGGAAGAACAAAATAGCTTTGCTTTTTGAGAACAAGTTGATTGGATTTATTACCCAAGTGACAGGATTAAACAGTGTTTTCAACAGGTGGCCTCCAAGTGCAGTAAGTTCTTGGAATGCGTATCCTGTTCTTTGACTTGGATTTTGTTTAAATGATGTAAGATTTGTTTGGAAGTCTACAATTCAGTATTTGGAGAAGGGGAGGTTTCCACTGTGTTCCTGGTGTTGGCTTTCAAACTACTGATTCAGCTCCTCTAGTGGACTATTAGTGGACTATGGGGGGTTACAGGCGGCGTCCCCTCATCTGGTGCTGAGAACATACCCTCTAGGTGACCTAAAACATGTTTTTGAGCCCCCCCCAAGTAGATTGCATTTTTTTTTTTTTTGCAACCATTCCAAATTCTCTATATTTCTCCTTTCTCCAGTCTCTGGCCACTGTCTTTTCTGCATTGACCTGTTGAATGTTTCTGGTTTTAACTTAATATGCTTTTGGGGTATTTTCCTCACTTGTAGCCATGGAGTTTTTGCTTTGGTTGGAAGAGCACGTTGGTTTGGCTTACTAGTTTGTCTGGAGGACCGTGAGAATAGTTACTATACTGTCTTTGTGTGCCTCTTTGGCGGTCTTGGAGCTTGAATTCAGAACCTAGATTCGGTCCCCTTAGCTGGTTTTGTGCACAAGGCTAGTGCTTTAACATTTTGAGTCACATCTTCATTTTCAGCTTTTTAGTAGCTAAAGAAAAAAAAACTTTCCCAAAGGGATGGCGATCGACTGATCTCCCTCCAGAGTAGCTAGGATTACAGTCCAGCCAGTGATGCTTAGCTAGTTTACTACCTCCCCACCCCTTAACCAGGAATCAAACCTAGGCTTTGGTGCTTATTAGGCAACTTTGCCACTGAGCTGCAACCTGTTCTGAGCCTTCACACTAGGTTTCCTTAATTGAGGAATTTTTACTGTATAAGAACCCCTTTGATCTATTTAATGATGTGGTATTAGTGCTCTTCCTTGTAGAAAAGATTCTGTGGTATTAAGCTTTTTATATAATTGAAAGTTTTTAGCCATGTTAGAGTTGGCTCTGTTAATTTGTAGGATGGGACAGGACAAAATTCTATTTGGTTAGATTTGATTTGAAATTAAATTGGCTTCATGCATTCTGTTGTATGCCAGAAAAGTAAATGGAACTGGCCTTGCTGTTTTTCACAACTGGTTGGTTGGTTTTTGTGCTAGTCCTAGGGCTTCAACTCAGGGCCTGGGTGCTGTCCTTGCGCTTTTCTTGTTCAAAGCTAGCCCCACCACTGGAGCCACAGCTCTACTTCCTGCTCTCTGGTAGTTTATTGGTGTTGAGTTTAGTTTCACTGGCTTTCTTGCCCTGACTGTCTTCAGATCTTGTTCGTATCTCAGCCTCAGCCTCCCAAGTAGGATTACAGGCGTGAGCCACCAGTTCTCTGCTTGTTACTGATTTTTTTTTCCCCCTGGCAGCTAGTTTCCTGTAGATTATAGTAACTTTTCTAGATGCCTTGGGGATCAAATGGATTAACAGGTTTAAGTTTGTCAGAGTACATCTTGTGACAATTGAACCTTCCTAGGAAGGTTTTTTTCCTTGTTTGCTGCCTGCTTGGAAGTTGGCATAAAATGGGTGTTTCCAGAGTGGTACTGTAGTTTTGTTTATTTTGGCATTTTGTAATTGTTTCCTATGCATAAATTAATGGTTTTGGTCTTCTTTTGTTACAGAAATGCATCGTGATTCCTGTCCTTTGGACTGTAAGGTTTATGTAGGCAATCTGGGAAACAATGGCAACAAGACTGAATTGGAACGGGCTTTCGGCTATTATGGGCCACTCCGAAGTGTGTGGGTTGCTAGAAACCCTCCCGGCTTTGCTTTTGTTGAATTTGAGGATCCTCGAGATGCAGCTGATGCTGTTCGAGAACTAGATGGAAGGTAATTTAAGCAACACTAAATTTTTAAAATGAAAATCATAAACTTTAGGGAGCAGGGAACTATGTGAACTATAAAAGATGGTTCCCAATGGTGACTAGACTGTCTCATGTTCTCTACATGTTTGAAATATTTTAGCTCAAATGTGAATCCGTTCTTTGTCTTGTAGCTAGCTGATAGTAACACCTGACTATGACACTAATAGATGTTGACCATACCTCTTGGAAAAGCATTGAATTGTTTTGGTTTTTTTGCCGGTCGTGGGACCTGAACTCTGGGCCTGGGCGATGTCCCTCAGCTCTTCAGCTCAAGCCTAGCGCTCTACCACTTTGAGCCACAGCACCACTTCGAGCTTTTTCTGCTTATGTGGTGCTGAGGAATTGAACCCAGGGCCTCATGCATGCAAGGCAAGCACTCTACCACTGAGACACTTTCCCAGCCTCAAGCATTGAATTGTTGATATCAAGGAAAATGATTAAATCTAAGAATCCAAAACTAAAATTGTGCTTTAGGATTTGTCTTGTACGGCAGGATGGGGAGGGGGGAAAAAGGATTTGTCTTGTAGCAAATGACAGTTCCTTAAGGGTCTGAGTGAGAGTTGGCTCTAAGGCTGTTATTGAGGCCAGCCTGAGATAGATAGTGAGACACCCTGTCCATAAAAATGTCATCCAGACAGGTTACAGAAGCAAAGTTTTCTTTTTTCTGCTTTCCCCTTCTCTCCAGTCCCGGGGCTTGAACTCGGGTGTGTGAGCACTGTCCCTGAGCTGCCTCTGCTCTACCACTTGAGCCACAGCACCACTTCTGGCTTTTTCTGTTGGTGTGGTGCTGAGGAATTGAACCCAGGGCTTAATGCATGCTAGGGAAATGCCTTACCACTTTGAGCCACATTTTTCTGGTGGTTAAATTGAGATAAAAGTCATGGAATTTTCCTGCCTGGGCTGGCTTTGAACTGTGATCTTAAGATCTCAGTCTCCTGAGTAGCTGGGATTATAGACACGGGCCACAACTGCCTGGCAGTAGCAAAATTTTCTTGGGCCTACCTCTTCCAAGCAACTGCCCAAATATATTTTGGTTTACCTAAAGAGTAATGAATGGCTATGTAAAAACAAATGGGAGGCATAGCTATCTCATATTTTCCTATAACTGAGCTATAATTTCTTGCATGATGATGGTTCAAGGAGTGGTGTAAAAGGGCCAAAGTAATTGTCTTAGAGCTGTTAGGGATGCAGGAGAGAGACTGATAGTTGAACATAGTAACTGAAAAAGTCCAAGTGCCAGTTTTCTATGTTAATCCAGAGGTTCTTGACATATCAGTTACAGCTGCTAGCATTACTGTGCTCAATAATTATACTGGTTCTAAAAAATGGTAAAAATGAGACAGTGCCCAGGTCCTCAGTTCAAGCCCCACGACCAACAAATAGAAAAGAATCAAATTTTGCTGGGCACTGGGGTCTACCTCCTGTAATTCTAGCTACTCAAGAGGCTGAGATCTGAGGATTACAATTCAAAGACAGCCTGGGCAAGAAAGTCTGTGAGACTCTCCAATTAGCCACCAGAAAAGCAGAAGTAGCACAATGGCTCAAAGTGGTAGTGTTTGCTAGCCTTGAAAGAAAAGAAATCTTGGGGTGGGAATGTGGCTTGCTAGAGTGCTTGCCCAGTATGTATGAAGCCCTGGGTTCAAGACCTGAGTACCACATAAACAGAAAAGGTGGAAGTGGTGCTGTGGCTCAAGTGGTAGAGTGCTAGTCTTGAGCAAAAATGCCTAGGTCCGGTTCAGGCCACGTGACCAAATAAAGAGGGAAGGTTAAAGTTTTGGTATTAAAAGGTTTTCAGACATACGAAGAGTTGTTTTTGTTGTAATACCCAGCTCAGGAAGGCTGTTGTAAGATTGTCTTTCGTCCCCACAGAACACTGTGTGGCTGCCGTGTAAGAGTGGAACTGTCCAATGGTGAGAAGAGAAGCCGAAACCGTGGTCCGCCTCCCTCTTGGGGTCGTCGCCCTCGAGATGATTACCGAAGGAGGAGTCCTCCACCCCGCCGCAGGTACTTGAGAGAGAGCACGTTTTAGAGGTATTGGTGTAATGGAGTAGCTAGTAGGAGCAGGTATTTCTCCAAATATATATGGTGGGTTTGAAGGCTCGGAGGTTTCTACGAAACATTGGCTGGGTGTAGTTCGGGGTATGTGAGTTGTGCTGAGTGTTGGCTTGTGTCTGTAGGTACTTTTCATGTTGGTAGTGAGTAACTTCTGTCTTGGATCTATCTTCTAGCTCATCTTCCAGTTGCTTCTTTCCAATTCTTCCCTTATACTTCAGTTTAGGCCTTTTTCCATTTCTTGACTCTCCATAATGACAAACATAACATTCAACTCTAGCTCTTCACAAAAATGTGTTTTCTACTAGCACAATTGTAATATTGACTAAACAGGCAGCTGTTTTAATGTTACAACTAGTAAAGTAGAAATCATTCTAAACTTAAGTCACTGACCAAGAAAAGGGGCTAAAACAGTAAATCCAGTCATCTGTTCTTGAATCCCACATAGGAGAGAATTCAGTTTTTGTTTTTTTTTTAATAATTGAGAATGGCATCATTCTTGGACCAGACAGTATTGTCTGGATGCTAACTCCTCATCTCCAACTGCCAAAATTGTTTCTGTAGGACTAAATTACCTCTTACAGGTGAGTGAGGTCCTTTTAGGAGATAGGAGTCCACAATCTTGCCCCTTTTGCTATTTTGAAAAACAACACACTGTTGCCCATCATAATAAAGAGTATTTGTTAGCTAATAGATGGTTGTACTGATGGCTTGTTTTTCATTTTTTTTTTGTGCTTTTTGGTCCATCTATTAATAAAAATGAACCCCGTTACAGAGTCACCATCATGTCTCTTCTCACCACCCTCTGAATCTGCATTAGCCAGTCAACTAGCCCTTTCAGCGTCATGTGACCAGCGCGCCCCATTCAGCTTGGCTGGTGTCGTTTCACATGACCCAGGCTGGCCAGTCGTCAGGTTGCACCGCCCTTTGGTTCCCGAGCATGCTGTTTTCTCTCAGCCTTCTCTCCAACCTTAACCAAATCGGCAGCAGCCACCTCGACCGCCCACACATTCCTGGCCAATCAGCTCAGCTGTTTATTTACCAAATGTCTTCACAACAACTACAGCAGCAGCCTTCGGCTAACAAAAAAGCAGGAAAAATCCACAACACCCCCTTCGCCAACCAACTAAATCCAACGCAACATCTGGCAAAACCTTTTCAGCAAATTCTTCCTGGCCGTCAGTCCGGCAGCCTCACCTCACCATTTCTAGCTTGTTGAAACCCAAAACTAGTAAGTTTTTCCTGCTTATACAGTTTACTGCTGGTTAAAATAAGGAGTAAGCGGCTTAAAGTAATTCTTTTTCTGGATCAAAGGCTGGCTGTGCATAATTGAATGGTAACGTACATATATATTGCTTGAAAACTTTTAAGGGTGATAGGGAACTCATAATGTAACTAGACCTTCAAGTGGAACTTATTTTGCATGTGTGAGATGCCAAACTAAAAAATTTAATCTCTAACAGATTTTATTAGCTTTTCTTCCTAGCAAATTTGGTTGAATCCTATCACCTTTAAATGGTTTTACTAACAGTTTTCAAATTTTTTTAAATTTTGGGGGTGAAGTGTGGGCCAAAGCTAAGGTGATTTGATAAGCCAAAACACACACTATAAATGTGACGATCACAGATGCAGTTCTAATGTAGCACTAAATGGCATCAGTATTTACACCTACCGCGTTTTCACAAAATGACACTATCCACCTGGTACCTACCTAAGTCTTGTTATGGACTTAGAAGTTTGCATGGGTTCCAAATACTGGTTTATGGTACTGTTTTTGGAACTACTTGTGGGACTACATTTTGGCGTGGTGTTTGGGTAGTGGAGTTAGTTTGACATGAAGTTTTGCATTGGACAGATCTGCTGTGAAGCATTCTTTGTTTAAATGAATCTATGGTTGGAATATCTGCTTTTCACTTGAGCTTTTTGTTCCTTAATCCTTCTGTGCCTTTTTTTCTTTTCTTTTATTTTTGGACGATGAGTGCCAGTTCTTCCGGCACATTCACTGGGCCCAACAGTGAGATTGAAAAGTTGGGAAATGCCTCACGCCATAAATACTAGTTGACTGTTAGCCTAATTTTCATGTTTCTGCTTTTAGATCTCCAAGAAGGAGAAGCTTCTCTCGCAGCCGGAGCAGGTAAATCCACATTTTTGAGTCATAATCTCAGCTATGGCAGTGGAAGCCAGTTCCCAAGTGACTCAGGAATGAGAAAGAAAAATAATCAGGAATTAATTAGGCTAGGGTTAAATTATAGGATGAACCAGCTTTGAGTTTTCAAGGACTCAGCAGACATTTCTGCTAGGTATGTTTTTTCTAGTATAGTTGCCATAACAATTGCCCTAACATTTTTCTCCTTGGTTTAGGTCCCTTTCTAGAGATAGGAGAAGAGAGAGATCACTGTCTCGGGAGAGAAATCACAAGCCGTCCCGATCTTTCTCTAGGTCTCGTAGGTAAGAACTCTTAATGTTTAGGCCATTTTTAAAGATACGCAAATGATGTATACTTAATTGTAATAAGCCAGAACTTCGTTGTTGATGTCACTAAATGTCACCAAGGTACAGTTGTAAAAAAGTATTTTCTTTTCCCCTAGCCGATCTAGGTCGAATGAAAGGAAATAGAAGAGCAGTTTGCAAGAAGTGGTGTACAGGAAATGACTTCAGTTGACAGGAGTATGTACAGAAAATTCAAGTTTTGTTTGAGACTTCATAAGCTTGGTGCATTTTTAAGATGTTTTAGCTGTTCAAATTTGTTTGTCTTTTGGAACAGTGACACAGCAATGTAATTCTCTATGGTTTGAAATGGATCATATGAGGCATGTAATATCAAGAATTGTTGCTTTACAATGTTCCCTTAAGCAAGATTAAATTTGCGTTGAACTTTAGTCTTGCATAGGACTGAAATAAAAAGCTCTAAATCTTGCCCAGCTGAAGTGTGATGTGCTAATGTTACAGAAGCAGAACTACAGAAGTGGAACTGAGATTACTTTGCGCCTAGCTGGGATACAGTATGCAGCTGTAGATGAGTAAGCAGTCTTTAAAAGTGGCCATGCCCACAGACAGGCCAGCGGGTAAAGATCAAAGCTGCGTCATTAAACTGGATGAGTGTTTCCTAAATCCAGCTGGTCTTCACTTCACCCTGGGCATAGATTGCCTAGTTGGTTTAACACCTGATGTGAAAGTTTACCTTTTAAGTGTCTTAACGTGATTGCTATATATGAATACATGGCTGTTTGTAACATTCTTTATTTGGAAATTTGAGATTTCAAAAAATGTCCTGCCAGTTTAAGGGTACATTGTAGAGTTGAACTTTTGAGTTACTGTGCAACTTTTTTTTTCATGCTGTCATTTGTAATATGTTTTGTGAGAATTCCTTGGGATTAAAGTTTTGGTTACAAATTGTTCTTTAACTTGAAAGCCTGTTTTTCCTTGCAAACTCAAATCTGTGAGCTTGGTACCAAGTCCAGGTATAACATTCCTATTGGAAGCCATACTTATATTTTCTTGTAAAGTGCTTTTGAATTAATAAAATATTAGCATAAATGTGTAATAGTTGAACCCACTGTTACCATTGTTCTGGTCCCTTGGGAAGCAGCTGGTCACGTAGTTCTTTATAAGAAACACAATGGAGGCACTGGAGAGTAGTCTGAAGTTACGGGGAAATTTTGGTCGTTACCCGAGTGATGTTAGTTACTCTTAGGAGTTGAGGCCAAAGCCAGTTCAGGGTCCATGATCTTAAAAGTAAGCAGCAGCCTGGTGTATTGTAATCCAAATTATGTTGCCCATTAAAAAAAAAAATGGCTTTTATCTTTAGCATGTCCACAAAGTTTTGAAGGTTGTTTCCATTTTATAATTTGAGGTGTTGCATGGGAATTCCACACATCCATTATGATGTAAAATTCACAATATGGTTCAAATGTAACTGCACAATTCATTATGGAGGCATGCATAACCTTCCTCTTCAGATCTGGAGGAGTTGTGATTTCACATTTTTTGTGCAATTAGATTAAATCATAATGCAACAGACTTGTGGCTTAGTTTCCTTAAATGTGCTCCTTCAAGGTAGTGTTTTTGGTTTATACTATACTGAAAGCTGGGTCATTGCACAGAGTTCAGTCTATAGGGTATAACTATGTAGGTCCACAAGATAAGAAGGAATGAATGGTGCCTTTATAAGTCCACATGTTCAATATAGGTATTTTGTAACACACCCCCTTTGGCCCCTTTTGTATCAATTACACTGCTGTTAAATGTACATTCACCCCAAGGCTAGCACTCCTTGCACTTGAGCCAGAGCCACAGCACCACTTCTGGCTTTTTCTGTTGATGTGCTACTGAGGAATGGAACCCAGGGCTTCATGCATGCTAGGCTCGCACTCTACCACTAAGCCACACTCTCAGCCTTGAGACTTTTTTTTGACAGTATACAACTTAGAAGTATTAAAAGGAAGATGGAGCATTGACTAATACAGAAGTAATCAAACTGGAAGCTGACTAAGTCATCCGATTTTGAGTGGCTTTTTAGTTGCCTAGTTTGATTTTAACCAGAAACACTAGCACAGTTATTTGGTCATAAGAAATCTAAAGCTTAGGTTTTTAACCTGATTTGTGAGGTTCTCCATTATTATCTCTCACTTCCATGTCTTAAGTAAAAATGTGTCAATTAGAGAAACTAGACGTTTGCAGAAACCTTTCAGTTAAGCATAGTGTTGTACAGATGTTCACAAGGGTCCATGTAGGTGGTGGTTCCACCTTCATGGGCTGCTGACAGTAGTTCACGTACATAAGTACATCCTCTGGTTCTTTCGGAGATCCTATCCTAGCTACTTGTTTTTTGCTACAGGTTCTGAGGCATGAGCTCAGTGTCTGAGCTCTTTTTTTTTGCGGGGGTGGGGAAGTCCTGGTCCTTGTACTCTGGGCCGGGTGCTGTCCTTAAGCTTTTGTTCAAGGCTAACATTTACTACCACTTTTACTATAACACCACTTCCAGCTTTTTCTGTGGTTAATTGGAAACTAGTCTCATGCACTTTACAGTCTAGGCTGACTGGACCATGATCCTCAGATCTCAAATACCCGATTAGCTATGATTACAGTCGTGAGCCACTAGTTCCCTTCTGAACTTGCTTTGAACCACTGTTCTCAGATCTCAGCCTTCTGAGTACCTAGGACTTGGAAGTGTCAGTTACTGCTGCCTGGCTGGCCTCACCCTCAGTCTTTAAACTTGTTTTAATACAGTGTTACTCATTCTATCTGGAGTTTATCTAGGGGAGTTTATGGTTCTTAGGTTTTTACCTGCTGACAAAGCCCAGGACTTTAGGAGGTACAGAGCTGGAATTTGCTTTCACTTCCCTTTCAGTGGGAGTTGGATAGAACAAGAATGCTGTTTATTTTGCCAGTCCTAGGGCTTGAGCTCTCAGCTTCTTTTGCTAAAGGCTAGCACTCTACCACTTGAGCAACGTTGCCACTTCTGACCTTTTCTGTTTATGTGGTGTTGAGGAGTTGAACCCAGTGCATTTGTGCATGTTAGGCAATCACATTCCTAGCCTGAATACTGTATTGAGGAGCTGAAGTTACTTGAATAAGTCTAAAGATAAAAAGCAGTGCGGTATGTATTCAATGACAGTATCTTAAAAATTGAGAAGCCAGCCAGGTGCTGGTGGGCTCACACCTGTAATCCTAGCTACTCAGGAGGCAGAGAGCTGAGGATCACAGTTCAAAGCCAGCCAGGGCAGGAAAGGCCGTGAGACTTAGCTCCAATAAACCACTCAGAAAACCAGCAGTGGTGCTGTGGCTCAAGTGGTAGCGTGCTAGCCTCGAGCTGAAAGAGCTGAAGGACAGGGCCCAGGCCCAGAGTTCAAGGCCCATGACTAACAAAAATTGAGAAGCCAGCTCAGGCAGAGACCAACCACTAGGAAGCAAAGTGGCACTGTGGGTCAAGTGGTAGAGTGCTATTGAACAAAAAAGCTAAGAGACAGGCACTTGGAGAATAAGTTGCAGGGATGGGCTATACCACCAGCAGCTTTTCTGGAAAGAACAGTTGGTGTTGCTGGGCACAGGTGACTGCCTCTTGTGTTCCTAACTGCTCTGGAGACTAAATAATACCTGAAAACTGGTTCAAAGCCAGCCCAGACAGAAAAGTCAGAGACTGGAAGTGGAGATGTGGAGAGTGCCAGCCTTGAGCAAAAAACAGTCCTGATACACAGTACTGGTACACAGAATAGTTGCTAAAGGATTCAAGTTCACGCTTTGGCCATTGTTGACATCTAGATTAGGATAATGGAGTGCCTTACAAAGGATTTTGAACCTGGAAATAATTAAATTGAGGGTCATTTGAAGTGTACTTAGTGCTAACAGTCAACTAAAAAGAGTCAGATGGTAAGGGGTAGGAGAACCTAAAAGGCAATGTCTCCCTCCCAGCTCAGGCTGGCCCCCAAGCAAAATCCTGCTACCTTCACCTGCCCACTGGGAGGTAAATGTGAGTGATGACTAATACCAAAAACTGTCCAGCAGGGGCTGGGAAGGTGGCTCAGTGGTAGAGCGCTTGCCTTGCATGCATGAGGCCCTGGGTTCGTTCCTCAGCATCACATAAGAAAAAACTGGAAGTGGCGCTGCTGTGTCTCAAGTGGTAGAGCGCTAGCCTTGAGCTGAAGAGCTGAGGGACAGCACCTAGACACCCAGAGTCCAGGCCCCACGACTGGACCACCCCTCCTCCCCCCCAAAAAAATTTTTTTTCAGCAGCTGCACACACCTGGAAGAAGATAGCACCTCTCCTTTCCTCAGATGATGCCGATTTATTTTTTTCAGGCATAGGGCTTGAACTCTGGGCCTGGGCACTGTCCCTCAGCTCTTCAGCTCAAGGTGAGCACTACCACTTGAGCCACAGTGCCACTTCCAGTTTTCTGGTGGTTATTTGGAGATAAGAGGCTCGTGGACGTTCCTGCCCGGGCTGGCTTTCAACCATGATCTTCAGATATCAGCCTCCTGAGTAGCTAGGATTACAGGTGTGAGCCACCAGCACCCGGTAGATGAAGCTGATTCTTAATGGAGGTGGCTGGAAGGAAAGCTGTTCCCTCTCTGTCTACCAGGATTGCTGCCTGAGCCAAAAGTGATGGCAGTGGACAGGAAAGATGGCTTAGAAGAGGAGTAGGCAGACAGTGCTTGGCAAGGCTCTGCTGTGCAAGTTTCCAGCCCAGTGGCGGTGAAGACCCGGGTGTCCAGTCTTGGAGGCAGTAAACTGGAGCGCAGGCAGGCCCAGAGTTCACACCCCACAACCAACCAAAAGAAACCTTCCAGCAGAGCTGGTTGGAATCCTGACTTCTCGCACCTCTGTGACTTTGGGTCATTTACATAATATCTAGGGTTTCCTTTGTCTCCACAAGGAGCTGCTAACCCCTTACTGTTAACAGCTTTCTGAGGATAGATAGAGCGCATGTACAGCACGGCCCACTGCTCAGGAATAGTTGGTCTTCATCAGGCTCACTGGTATAGCATAGGCACTGGAGTAATGGCTTAGAGTGGGTCTTTTTAAACTGGGTGCAGTGATGTTGAGGCAGAAGGATCACTTGAACTCCCAAGGCCAGCATGGGCAGCATAGCGGTAGCCAGCTCACGATGCCATTGAGATAAGAGTCTCCCAATCTTTTGCCCAGTCTGGTCTCAGACCATAGTCCCTAATTAACTAGGTTTATAGCATGAGCCACTGTGCCCCGTTAAACATTTTCCCCCCTGCACCAATCCTCTTAGCCACTGACTGTCTTAGCCTACTTCCTATAGCCTTCCTCTTGAATAGGAAGCAAGTCACATCCTTGTGTCCTTAGCCTGGACATAGCCTCTGATGACCTCTTCATATCCTTAACTTTGCAAGGAGAGGCAGCCCTGGTCGTTTCTGTGGAGCTTGTGCTGGATGAGAGACTCCCAGATTTCCTGCTACCAGATGCTTTCCTCTTTTTTTTTCTTTTTTTTGGTTGATTGTGGGGCTTGAACTCTGGGCCTGGGCGCCATCCCTGAGCTCTTCAGCTCAACGCTAGCCCTCTACCATTTGAACCATAGCACCATTTCTGGTTTTCTGGTACTATTGGAGATGAGTCTCATGGACTTTCCTGCCGGGGCTCTTTGAACCATGGTCCTCAGATCTCAGCCTCCTGAGGAGCTAGGATTACAGGTATGAGCCACTGGTGCCCAGCTGCTTTTCTCTTCTGCACAATCATATTAACAGTGCTGGGGAGAGCACAGGTACACTCTCAGAGGGAAGGGGAGGAAACTAAAGTACGGTGTGTGGGTGGTTATGACCTGTTCTGACCTGGAAACTGAGGAGAGGGAGTGATCTGTCCAATGTGGGCCCCTGTTTTAGAAAAAGAATGGTAGCCAGGTGCTGGTGGCTCACACCAGTTATCCTAGCTACTCAGGAGGCT